ATCCTCATGACTTACTTATAACTGAAAGTTTGTATCTCTTAAACCCCTTCAACATATTTTGCCTACTCCCCAACCTCTCCCCCATTTGGTAAACAGTTGTTTTCTGTATCTGTGAGTCTGTTGTGTTTTGTTTGTTCCTTTGTTTTGTTCTTTTTTTTTTTTTTTTTTTTGGTTTTTGGTTTTTTGAATTCTTGGTTGGTACTTTTATTTATTTTTTAACAATTTATTTTTTCATTTGCATCCAAGTTAGTTAGCATATACTGCAACAATGATTTCAGGAGAAGATTCCTTAATGCCCCTTACCCATTTAGACAATCCCCCTCCCATAACCCCTCCATCAACCCTCTGTTTGTTCACCATATTTAAGAGTCTCTTATGTTTTGTCCCCCTCCCTGTTTTTTTAATTATTTTTGCTTCCCTTCCCATATGTTCATCTGTTTTGTATCTTAAAGTCCTCATATGAGTGAAGTCATATGATATTTGTCTTTCTCTGACTAATTTCATGTAGCATAATACCCTCTAGTTCCATCCATGTAGTTGCAAATGGCAAGATTTCATTTTGATTGCCGAGTAATACTCCATTGTATATATATATACCACATCTTCTTTATCCATTCATCCAGTAATGGACATTTGGGCTCTTTCCATACTTTGGCTATTGTTGATAGTGCTGCTATAAACACTGGGGTGCATGGGCCCCTTCTAAACAGCACACATGTATCCCTTGGATATAGTAGGGCAATTGCTGGATCATAGGGTAGTTCTATCTTTAATTTTTTGAGGAAGCTCCATACTGTTTTCCAGAGTGGCTGCACCAGTTTGCATTCCCACCAGCAGTGCAAAAGAGATCCTCTTTCTCCGCATCCTCGCCAACACCTGTTGTTGCCTGAGTTGTTAGTGTTAGCCATTCTGACACGTGTGAGGTGGTATTTCTTTGTGGTTTTGATTTGTATTTCCCTGATGAGGAGTGATGTTGAGCATTTTTTCATGTGTCGGTTGGCCATCTGGATGTCTTCTTTGGAGAAGTGTCTATTCGGGTCTTTTGCCCATTTCTTCACTGGATTATTTGTTTTTTGGGTGTTGACTTTGATAAGTTCTTTATAGATTTTGGATACTAACCCTTTATCTGATATGTCATTTGCAAATATCTTCTCCCATTCCATCAGTTGCTTTTTAGTTTTTCTGATTGTTTCCTTCACGTGCAGAAGCCTTTTATTTTATGAGGTCCCAATAGTTCATTTTTGCTTTTGTTTCCCTTGCCTCTGGAGACGTGTTGAGTAAGAAGTTGCTGCGGCCAAGATCAAAGAGGTTTTTGCCTGCTTTCTCCTCGAGGAGTTTGTTGGCTTCCTGTCTTACATTTAGGTCTTTCATTCATTGTGAGTTTATTTTTGTGTATGGTGTAAGAAAGTGGTCCAGGTTCATTTTTCTGTATGCTGCTTTCCAGTTTTCCCAGCACCACTAGAAGAGACTGTCTTTATTCCACTGGATCTTCTTTCCTGCTTTGCCAAAGATTAGTTGGCCATACGTTTATGGGTCCATTTCTGGGTTCTGTATCCTGCCCCATTGATCTGAGTGTCTGTTCTTGTGCCAGTACCATACTGTCTTGATGATTACAGCTTTGTAGTATAGCTTGAAGTCTGGGATTGTGATGCCTCCAGCTCTGGTTTTCTTTTCCAAGATTTCTTTGGCTATTTGGGGTCTTTTCTGGTTCCATACAAACTTTAGGATGGTTGTTCTAGCTCTGTGAAGAATGCTGGTGTTATTTTGATAGGGATTGCATTGAATATGTAGATTGCTTTGGGTAGTATTGACATTTTAACAATATTTGTTCTTCCTATCCAGGAGCATGGAATCGTTTTCTTTCTTTCTTTCTTCTTCTTCTTCTTCTTTTTTTTGTATCTTCTTCAATTTCTTTTGTAAGCTTTCTATAGTTTTCAGTGTATAGATTTTTCACCTCTTTGGTTACATTTATTCCTAGGTATTTTGTGGGTTTTGGTGCAATTGTAAATGGGATCGATTCCTTGATTTCTCTTTCTGTTGCTTCGTTATTGGTGTATAGGAATGCAACTGAGTTCTGTGCATTGTTTTTATATCTTGCAACTTTGATGAATTCATGAATCAGTTCTAGCAGTTTTTTGGTGGAACCTTCTGGTTTTCCATATAGATTATCATGTCATCTGTGAAGAGTGAAAGTTTGACCTCCTCCTGGTCGATTTAGATGCTTTTATTTCTTTGTGTTGTCCGATTGCTGAAGCTAAGACTTCCAATAGTAGGTTAAATAACAGTGGCGAGAGTGGACAGCCCTATCTTGCTCCTGACCTTAGGTGGAAAGCTCTCCGTTTTTCCCCATTGAGGATGGTATTAGTGTTGGGTCCTTCATATATCGCTTTTATGATCTTGAGGTATGATCCTTCTATCCCTACTTTCTTAGGGTTTTTATCAAGAAAGGAGCTGTATTTTGTCCAATGCTTTCTCTGCATCTATAGAGAGGATCATGTGATTCTTGTCCTTTCTTTTTTTGATGTGATGTATCACATTGATTGTTTTGTGGATATTGAACCAGCCCTGCATCCCAGGTATAAATCCCACTTGGCCGTGGTGAATAATTTTCTAAAGTATTGTTGGATCCGGTTGGCTAATATTTTGTTGAGGATATTTGCATCCATGTTCATCAGGGAAATTGGTCTATAGTTCTCCTTTTTCGTGAGGTCTTTGTCTGGTTTTGGAATCAAGGTAATGCTGACTTCATAGAAAGCGTTTGGAAATTTTCCTTCCATTTCTGTTTTTTGGAAGAGCTTCCAAAGAATAGGTGTTAAGTCTTCCTTAAATGTTTGGCAGAATTCTCCTGGAAAGCCATCTGGCCCTGGACTCTTGTTTTTTGGGAGATTTTTGATTACTAATTTGATTTGTTTACTGCTTATGGGTCTGCTCAAATTGTCTGTTTCTTCCTGTTTCAAGTTTTGGTAGTGTATATGTTTCTAGGAATTTGTCCATTTCTTACAGATTGCCCATTTTATTGGCGTATAATTGCTCATAATATTCTCTTATTATTGTTTGTATTTCTGTTGTGTTGGTTGTGATCTCTCCTCTTTCATCCTGATTTTGTTTATATGGGTCCTTTCCTTTTTCTTTTTCATCAGTCTGGCTAGTGGTTTATCAATTTTGTTAATTCTTTCAAAAAACAGCTTCTGGTTTCATTGATCTGTTCCAGTGGGGTTTTTTTGTTTGTTTGTTTCAATAGCATTGATTTCTGCTCTAATCGTTATTATTTCCTGTCTCCTGCTAGCTTGGGGTTTTATTTGCTGTTCTTTTTCCTGCTCTTTAAGGTATAAGGTTATGTTGTGTATCTGAGACCTTTCTTCCTTCTTTAGGAAGGCCTGGATTGCTATATATAAACTCCTCTTATGAACTCCTTTGCTGTGTCCCAGAGGTTTTGGGCTGTTGTGTTACCATTTTCATTGGCTTCCATGTACTTTTTAATTTCCTCTTTAACTTCTTTGTTAGCCCATTCATTCTTTAGTAGGATGCTCTTTAGTCTCCAAGTATTTCTTATCTTTCCACATTTTTTCTTGAGCTTGATTTCGAGTTTCATAGCATTGTGGTCTGAAAATATGCACGGTGTGATCTCGATCTTTTAGTACTTGTTGAGGACTGATTTGTGTCCCAGCATGTGGTCTATTCTGGAGAACGTTCCATGTGCATTGGAGAAGAATGTGTATTCCACTGCTTTAGGATCAAATGTTCTGAATCTATCTGTTAAGTCCATCCGGTCCAGTGTGTCATTCAAAGCCATTGTTTCTTTGTTGATTTTCTGTTTAGATGATCTGTCCATTGCTGTAAGTGGGGTGTTGAAGTCCCCTACTATTATGGTATTATATACCGTATGAGTTTCTTTATGTTTGTGATGAATTGATTTATATATTTGGGTGCTGCCACATTTGGAGCATGAATGTTTACAATTGTTAGGTCTTCTTGGTGGATAGACCCCTTAATTATGATATGCCTTTCTTCATCTCTTGTTACAGTCTTTATTTTAAAGTCTAGATTGTGTGATAGAAGTATGGCTACTCTGGCTTTCTTTTGGAGACCATTAGCGTGATAGATGGTTCTCCATCCCCTAACTTTCAATCCGAAGGTGCCTTAGGTCTAAAGTGGGTCTCTTGTAAACAGCATATAGATGGATCTTGTTTTCTTATCCATTCTGTTATTGTATGTCTTTTGATTGGAGCATTTAGTCCATTGATGTTTAGGGTGAGTACTGAAAGATAGGAATTTGTCGTCATTATGTTGTTTGTAGAGTTGGAGTTTCTGATGGTGTTCTCTGGTCATTTCTAGCCTTTGTTGCTTTTGTTATGTATGTATGTATGTATGTATGTATTTCATCTTTTCTCCCCTCAGCGAGTCCCCATTAATATTTCTTGCAGGGCTGGTTTAGTCATCACAAACTCCTTTAATTTTTGTTTGTGTGGGAAACTTTTAATCTCTCCTTCTATTTTGAATGACAGCGTTGCTGGATAAAGAACTCTTGGCTGAATATTTTTCTGATTCAGCATGTTGAATATATCCTGCCACTCCTTTCTTCCCTGCCAAGTGTCTGTGGATAGGTCTGCTGCAAACCTGATTTGTCTTCCCTTGTAGGTTAAGGACTTTTTTTCCCTTGCTGCTTTCATGATTCTTTCCTTGCCTGAGTATTTTGTGAATTTGACTATGATATGCCTTTCTGATGGTCGGTTTTTGTTGAATCTAATGGGAGTCCTCTGTGCTTCCTGGATTTTGATGTCTATGTCTTTTCTCACGTTAGTTAAGTTTTCTGCTGTGATTTGCTCACATAACACTTTTTCTCTCTCATCCTCTTCTGGGACCCTTATGATTCTGATGTTGCTCGTTTTTAATGAGTCACTGATCTCAAATTCTTAAATTGTACTCTTTTGCATCAGTCTCACTTTTTTTTTCTGCTTCATTATTCTCCAGAAGTTTGTCCTTTATATCACTGATGGGACTCTGCCCCATCCATCCTTGCCACCGTGACATCCATTTGAGATTTTAGCTGAGTTATAGCATTTTTTATTTAATCCTGAGTAGCTTTTACTTCCTTTATCTCCACAGAAAGGGATTCTAATCTATTTTCAACCCCAGCTAGTATTCTTATTATCATGTTTCTAAAGTCTGGTTCAGACATCTTGCTTGTATCTGTGTTGATTAAATTCCCTGGCTGTCATTTTTTTCCCCTGTTCTTTCTTTTGGCATGAATTCTTTCATTTTGTCATTTTGAGGGAAGAAAGGGAGTAAGATAAAAAAATTAAAATTAAAAAACTAAAAACAAAAAAAATCAAATAAATGATGCTAGATTCTAGGTGTGTTTTGGTTTGGTTGTGGAAAGGAGCTTGATAGATTAGTGAAAAAAAGGGAAAGATAAGGGGAAAATGGAAAAAAATGGAAGATGTTTGAAAATTTGAAAAAATGAATACAATGAAATAGAATAAAGTGAAATGATGTAAATAAAATAGAATTTGAAATTTTTACATAAAGGATGGGGCGCCTGGGTGGCGCAGTCGGTTAAGCGTCCGACTTCAGCCAGGTCACGATCTCGCAGTACGTGAGTTCGAGCCCCGTGTCGGGCTCTGGGCTGATGGCTCAGAGCCTGGAGCCTGTTTCCGATTCTGTGTCTCCCTCTCTCTCTGCCCCTCCCCTGTTCATGCTCTGTCTCTCTCTGTCCCAAAAAATAAATAAAAAACGTTGGAAAAAAAATTAAAAAAAAAAAAGAAATTTTTACATAAAGGAAAAAATATTGTAGAAAAAAATAAAGAAAAATATTTTTAATAAAAAATGAAAATAAAAATAAATTTTTTCTCTTTCTGTATTTAAGAATAAGAAAAGAAAAGAAATAGGAAAAAATTGAACAGATGGACCAGCAAGCAGACTGAAATATGATTGAAATTACATCAGTTTCCCCTAGAAGTCAAACTAAGTTTATAGTCTGGAAACTAAACAGGCAGAGAGATTTGTGTTCCTGAAGAGTGAGTTTGGCCCAGTTAGGCAGCACTTAGTATAATGGCTTAATTCTCCACTAGATGGCGCTGCTCAGTTTACTGGGGTGGATTATTGCGCTTGTTGGTGTGTGAGCGCATGTGCGGGAGCAGTGAAAATGGCATCACCCAGTCTCTAGTACTGGAATTCTGTTCTCCCCAACTAGCAATCGCTGGTGTCTCCACCTCCCATGTGCTCCCTGCTTTTATACTGTTCATGACCAAGCTCTCAAGTTGCCAGACAGGACTTCTCTCCTGAGTTTTATATATATATATATATATATATATATATATATATATATATATATCTCAGATGCGGCTGTGTTTCCCAACCCCTCACTTATGAGGGACTGCATGCTGCTTTGACCCACTCAGACCCTCTGGAGGAGGGTCTCACTGAGCAATGGCCAGATGCCAGCCCCCAGGAACGTTTCTGACACCATGCTGCTGCTGTGCAGAGATTGCGGCTGGGTGCAAGTCCGCCCTAGAAAAAGTTCACACGATCTATTGCAGCAGCGTTTCAGGGATTATGGAAAATCACAGGACACATCTGGCACCAGGCTTCACCCTTAATGACCTTGTTCCAGCACCAGTGCATGCAGTTGTTCTCCAGGGTCTGCTGGGAACTTTGCCTGTGGGGTGGTTGCAGGGCCTCTACTGAATGTCCTCCCAGCAGCAGAACTGCCCCTTCCTATGTGTCCTGAGGACCTTGAGGACCTCGCTCTTTGCTCCTGGGGATTCACCTTTCCCACCAGAGCACTGCCAGGTATCAAGCTGTGGAGTTTCAGATTCTGCATTCCCCCTGTTTATGGAGTCTTAATGGAATTTAAACCCTCTCCTTTCTCCTTTCTCCCTTTTTTTCAGTCCCTTTCATATTCTTTCTTTTCTCTCCAGCTGCTTTCAGGCAGGGGGTTGGGGGGGATGCTTTCCCATACTAACCCCCCGCCCCCATCTCCATCCTCTCTCCCCAAACAGAAACAGCTCCCTGCCCTCTGCAGCTTCTCTCTCCCCCAGTTCACCTCTCTGCGCCATGTACCTGCTGAATTCTGTGGTTCAGGTTGTGTAGATTGCTGGGTTAATCCTCAGGTCAGTTTTCTAGGTGTGCAGGATGGCTTAGTGTTGGTCTGGCTGTATTTTGGTGATGAGAGACGCAAAAAAAACTTCCATGCTATTCTGCTATCTTGGCTCCTCCTCCTCTGTTTTATTCTTTATATCCCACATATAAATGAAATCATATGGTACTTGTCTTCTCTGTATGACTTATTTCACTTGACATACACCCTCTAGTTCTATCTCTGTTGTTGCAAATGGTAAGATTTCATTCTTTTTATGGCTAGGTGATATTCCTCTGTGTGTGTGTGTGTGTGTGTGTGTGTGTGTGTGTGTGAATCTCACATCTTCTTTATCCACTCATTTATTGATTAGGTTGCTCCTATATCACTGGCTATTGTAAACAATGTAACAATGAACATAGGGGTGTATATATCTCTTCAGATCCGTGTTTTTGTTTTCTTTGGATAAATTGCCAGAAATGAAACTGCTATATTATATGGTTTTTTTAAAGGATCCTCCATACTGTTTTCTATAGTGGCTGCACCAATTGGTAAATGTGCAATGTAAATTTACATTCCCACCAACAGCATACAAGGGTGCCTTTTTCTCCATATCCTTACCAACACTTGTTGTGTTTGTCTTTTTGATAATAGTCAATCTAATAGGGGTGAGACAATATCTTATTGTGGTTTTGATCTGCATTTCCTTGGTGATTAGTGATGTTGAGCATCTTTTCATGTACCTATTAGTAATCTATATGTCTTTGGAAAAATGTCTATTTAAGTTCTCTGCCAATTTTTTAATCAGGTTTTTTATGTTAAGTTGTGTAAGTTCTTTATATATTTTGGATATTAACTCCTATTGAATGTATTATTTGTGGATATCTTCTCCCTTTCAGTAGGTTTCCTTTTTGCTTTGTTGATGGCTTTTTTTATTATACAAAAGGTTTTTTTTAGTTTTATGCAATCCCAGTTATCTATTTTAGCTTTTGTTACTGTTAACTGAGTAGACTGGTCCAAAAAAATATTGCTAAGATCAATGTCAAAAAGCTTACATAAGCCTATATTTTCTTCTAGGAGTTTGATGGTTACAGGTCTTACACTCAAGTCTTTAATCCATTTTGAATTTATTTTTGTATATGCTATAAAATAGTGGTCCAAGTGCATTCTTTTGTATCTAACTGTCCAATTTTACCAACACCATTTATTGAAGACATTGCCCTTTCCTCATTGTATATTCTTGCCTTCTTTGTCATAGATTAATTGGCCATATATGCATGGACTTTTTCTAGGTTCTCTTTTCAGATTCTATGTCATTTATTTCTGCTCTAATCTTTATTATTTCCCTTCTTCTCCTGAATTTTGGCTTTATTTGCTGCTGCTTTTCTAGCTCCTTTAGGTGTAAGGTTGGTTGTATATTTGGGACCTTTCTTGCTTCTTGAGATAGGCCTGAATTGCAATGGATTAACCTCTTAGGACTGTATTTGCTGCATCTCAAAGGGTCTGAACTGTCATGTTTTCATTTTCATTTGCTTCCATTATTTTCTTTTTTATTTATTTATTTATTTATTTTTCAACGTTTATTTATTTTTGGGACAGAGAGAGACAGAGCATGAACGGGGGAGGGGCAGAGAGAGAGGGAGACACAGAATCAGAAACAGGCTCCAGGCTCTGAGCCATCAGCCCAGAGCCCGACGTGGGGCTCGAACTCACAGACAGTGAGATCGTGACCTGGCTGAAGTCGGACGCTTAACCGACTGCACCACCCAGGCGCCCCATTATTTTCTAATTTCTTCTTTAATTTTCTGGTTAACTCATTCATATTTTAGTAGAATGTTCTTTAACCTCCATATATTTGGGGTCTTTCTAAATATTTTTCCTGTGGTTGGTCTCAAGTTTCATAGCATTGTGATCTGAAAATATGCATGGTATGATCTCAATCTTATACTTGTTGAGGGCTGTTTTGTGACCCAGGATGTGATCTATTTTGGAGAATGTTTCATGTGCACTTGAGAAGAATGTGTATTCTGCTGCTTTAGGATGAAACGTTCTGAATATATCTGTTAAATCCATCTGGTCCAATGTGTCATTTAGAGCCATTGTTTTCTTATTATTCTGCTTAGATGATCTGCCCATTGCTGTAAGTAGAGTATTAAAGTCTCCTACATTTATGGTGCTATTATCAATATGTTTGCTTATGTTTGTGATTAACTGATTTATACATTTGGATCACCACATTGGGGACATAAATATTTACAATTGTTAGCATTTCTTGATGGACAGACCCTTTCTTTAATCATGATATAATGTCATTCTTCATCTCTTGTTACAGTCTTTGTTTCAAATTCTAGTTTGTCTGATATAAGTATGGCTACTCTGGCTTTCTTTTGACGGCCATTAGGATGATAGCTCTCTATCCCCTCACTTTCAATCTTCAGGTGTCTTCAGCTCTAAATGAGTCTTTTGTAGGCAACATATAGATTAATCTTGTTTTTTTTTTTAAATCCATTCTGATACCCTATGTCTTAGTCCATTTACATTCAGAGTGATTATTGAAAGATATGACTTTAGTGCCATTGTGTTATCTGCAGATTTCATGTTTGTGGTGATGTCTCTGGTTCTTTGTAGTCTTTGTTGCTTGCCACTCAGAGAGTCCCCCTTAGGATCTCTTGCAGAGCTGGTTTAGTGGTCATGAACTCCTTTAGTTTTTGTTTGCCTGGGAAAGTCTTTATCTCTGTTTCTATTCTGAATGACAGCCTTGCTGGATAAAGATTTCTTGGCTGCATATTTTTTCCTACTCAGCACATTGAATATTTCCTGCCACTACCTTCTGGCCTGCCAAGTTTCAGTGGACTTCCACTACCCTTATGTGTCTTCCTTTGTAGAGTAAGGACCATTTGTCCCTACCTACTTTCAGACTTCTTTCTTTATCTTTGTATTTTGCCAGTTTCACTATGATATGTTGTGGTGTTGACCTGTTTTTGCTGATTTTGAAGGGAGTTTTCTGTGCCTCTTGGACTTGGATGCCTGTTTCCTTCCTCATATTACAGAAGT